TGTTTCTATTTAAAAAGCGACACGATTGAATTGCAGGTAGCGACCTGTTGACTAGCTTGACGACCACGTTCGATCGTAAATGGAAGTCCCTGGTAAACTCGTCGAGTCAAACGATTCGTGGATTCACCATGGAAAATCTGTCTCTCAGCGACGAGGACGCCGCGATAACGCGAGACTCGCAAAACCTGCGGAATCAACGAGGAGGCGAGGAAGGACGGGGAGGAGGAGGAGGAGAAGGAGGAGGATCACGAGAAGAGAAAGACACACGCAAAACAACCGGGCCGCGATCCTGTTCCGCTGAAACTTATCGAGATCCGAGCCTCCATAAGACGTCTATCGAAAAGCATCAATACGTTCGCCAAAAGAATGCAAGTATTATACTACGCTCTAAATCAATGTGAATTAATTAATAATTAATAAAATCGAGTAAAATGTAGTGTAATCGTCTAGCCAATTCGTACATCATATACGCGCGAGCATGTGTCGGTTATTCATAGTATTGCTTGTTTCTTTCACTCGTGCACAGGATGCTCCGGAAAAGGATACGGATTCGTCGGTAACGGAGAATAGCATGGTTGATCGACCGGACGATACTGACGTACCGGATAACGATCGAAGCGCTATCGCACGAAAAAGGATCGAGTTGAAACAGCAAGAGCAATTGCGATCCGGCAAGGAGATGACGACAGCAACAGCGACAGCGACGTCGACGTCGACGTCGACGGTAACGGTGACAGCGGCAGCGGCAGCGGCAGCGTCGACGGCAGCGTCGACGACCACGACGACTTCGACGGCGGCAACGACGACTTTGACGACTTCAATAACGACTTCGACGACGACGACGACAACAGCAGCAGCAGGCGACGAAGCAAGTTCAACTGCAAACGAAGCACAAGAGTGCTGCAAGCGCGAAAAAGAAGAAGCGTCAATATTGGCGGAAAACGGTGACAAAGCGATCGATGACGCGAAAGATCTTCGACACGATGTCGTCGATTGTTCGACGAATTATTCCAACAAGCTGGAGAGATTCGAGAGCCTGACAAATTTCGAAGTCAGATCGCGGCTAAAAAGATCGGAATCTTTGAACAAGAGATCTGAGAATACCTCGTCCAAGTTGAAGAGATCCGAAAGCTTGAACAAACATTCTGTGGAGAGGCTCTCGTCGCCGACCAATGGCAAACTGAAGCGGTCCGAAAGTTTGAACAAGCATTCGGAGAGATCCGATTCTCCGAATAGTAAGTTGAAGCGATCCGAGTCGTTGACGAAAACTGAGAAAACTGAATGTAACATTAGCAAGAGACGACAATCGGTTAGGAAAGACAGTGCGACGAAATTGAAGCGAAAGAATGGTATGCCCGAGCGATCGATCAAACGCAGGCACACTGTAGGGGGCACCAAGGATTTCGACAAAGTACATTGGTTGGATAACAAGTTGCAAGTCGAGGCTGAGAAAGTAGTTAGGAACGAGTATAGGCCGAAGAAAAGTCAATTGAGGACGAGCTCTCCGGATTTGAGTACCGCTCGTATCGGACTCACCGATGCTAGCTTTCTCATCGAGGTCAGCTTTCGCGGCCCGAGTAACGTCGTTTTCAACGTGACCAACGCTCGCCCGCAGTCCTTACCGGATACCAGCTTGGCTTCCAAAGTGTACAAAGTACCTCTCGAAAGTCACGTGTAACAACAGCGCGCGCGCGCGATGCATCTGCCAAACCTGCGCGAGACGTAAGTCGAAGAAGCAAAAAGCGTTAAAAGCGTGTAAAAGGGTAAAAAATGCGACAACTGCGAAAGAAGAAAGAATATCGCAAGTGTCGATATAGTCTCGCTCATCCAGCGTAACTTTTTCACTTATTGTCAGCATTTATATCGCAGCCTGTCAATTATTATTGTTATACCGTACTTGTGTAAATCTGTGCAATTTTTTTCTTTTCGTTCTTTCTTTTTTTTTTTTTTTTTTTTTTTTTTTTTTTTTTTTTTTTTTTTT